CCGCTAAAATAAATTCCAGTGAAAATGCCATTTCCTACATACCCCATTGAGACTTGACACAGCACAGTGAAAATTGGATTCATACGTGATGCTTGAAAACGAAAATAATTAAGTGAAATTCTATGTGACTTCATGAGAGTTGTCGACGAAAACTGCGTGAAATGGGAAAACTGTGACGCCTTGTGACGTCACGATAACTTATTCAAGATGGCGGCAAACGAGGGGTTTTCGTCGTGAAATCGACCAATTTCGGACCATCGCCCTCAAAATAATTGATGAAATAGTTTCGGGACCCATCGACAGTAGAAAAGTAGAAACTTGAGGCGAAAATAATGAAAAAAAACGGCTGTTACGGCCCGACCTGATTTCAGGTCGGTAAAATATGGTAACTCGCATAGGATGGAACTGTAGCTCCCTGGTTTCGCGTTAACACCACGACGAACAAAATAACAGACAGCGAAACCAAGCGAGCTACAGAACTGCAGCTATAGCTAATCCTACTCAGTCTGAGTGTGGGCATAAATTCACTGGGTTTTTTATGTATATTTTCATTACCGAGAAACTTGACCTCAAAGTTGGGGTAACTTTTTACCAGCAACGGTTTTTAACTGCTCTGTGTTTTTTTTTTCATCTTTGCATTGGCTAATTTTGTTCATACTTGACTAATTGAAATACCCCAGACCATTCGTCCCGGTGTTATCGCTATCGCCACACGAGACTCCAGCTTGTCTCCTATACAATTTTCCTTCCGCCCACTTAATTTTAATATTCATATGACCTTTGCACTGACATCGATAGCCAATCGCATTCGACCGCGGACGTCACTCTAAATAAACAACTGAATAAATTAATATACATGTACCATATTTGGAAGATAGCGGGTAAATTCAACGTTGTTGGTGTGTTCCTTCGGGTTCGAAGTCGCACGAAACGAGTTAATGTTCCGTTATCTTTCGCAAGTAAAACAGGTCGATATGTATTAAACATGGCATTTGTTTTCTTATTACGCAAGCTTCCGTCGAAGTGGTGTTTTTTTCGACGATTTGTGGCATGTTGCAAAACGAACGAAACATTGCGGCATTCTTAGCGGTGGATAAGGGATCGACTATGTCGTCACATTTATGTCTCGTTTGAAAGAGAATAAACAACCGCTCAGAAAAATATGTTGCTAATATTTAAGTGCGGTGCCTTGAAATCGCCTGCCCGACGTCCAAATTTCAAAAGGATGTTCGATGTAACCAGTCTTGTGATTGGTTGTTGACAATGCTGAAAAGGCCACGCCTCCAACGGTGTCGTGCGTTCGGACTAACCGTTAGGAATTCCTAAATGGAGTCAATTTGTGTAGTTTTCTTGATTTATTCTGCAGATATCGGTAAAATGTAGGTAAGGCTTTGGCGAAATTCGAAGGAGCAACTAATATTCTTCAACCTGGTATTTTTTTTAGATTTTATTTTTTATTTTTTTCGTCTGTTTTTTCGAGTTTAAAAAATGTGAGCTGGCTGGAGCCTTCATCCCTTGTCTATTTCTTACACTAGATACCAGCCGATATCCCCCCCCCCCCGCGCTCATAGAGACTGCGTATTACAGTTGATTATAGTTCCTGGGCTCCCTGTGGTATCGGCTGGTATCTAGTGTAAGAAATAGATAATGCAATTATTTTGAATAAAATCACTTCATATATACCAGTAATCATAAATATTTTTTCTCAAAAATGGGGCTGTGTGTGGGGTTATACCAGAAATGGTGGAGACTGTGCACACATTGGGGGGGGGGGCGGTCCTGTATCGATCTTCCTAAAGTTGTAATACCAAAAAAAAATATTGTACAGTCGGACCTCTGAAGAAAAACAAAAAGAAATTGACATATTCTAAAAAAAATAATATCACATAACAATGTAAATCTTTTCCCTTCACCCTCCCTCTTTACATGTAATTCAATTTATGGTTCGTTTTGGCAGATTGTGCCGTTTAAATACTTCCATGCTACAATTTATTATTCCCCCCCCCCCGCCGTGTTTGACTAAAAAACAAAATACCGAGTACAAAATAGCGCCACCAGTGACGACGACAGAGGGCGCAATCTTAAAAATGGCTTCCTAACTGTGATGTTATGAGGATCGTGTCACGTATTCTTTTGAATTTTAGTACAGTACTTACTCCACATGTTCTTCACACACTATACGTATCTCCGTCAACAAAACTTTAATTTATAATGCAAATATGCCCCTTGAAAAGTTTCAGTGGTGTTTTCCTGCCAGACCAAACCGACTGTACAACATCGCTAGTGGGATTACGATAGCCGGTGTTGGAACATTTGCCAAGGTACTTCTTGGTGAGTTTTATTTTTACAATAGATTCGGTATTACAATCAATACACTTCCTTGCTCCCGGGGGTATTTCTTGATGTTCCTGAGTATTTCGATTGGCAGAACATTGTGCTGATATCCTAAACTTTGAGATGCTTATTCTTATAATTGAAATGTTTGACGTGGCTCAAATTCATATGTTGTTTAATAAATTGGTTATATGTGCATAGTTTATTAGTTTTCTGTATGGTCGGTAGCCGTATATTATCAAGTTATATCTTTTATTTTTGTTTTCATTTTGTTACTGATACCATCGAAAGTAGAGGCATCACAGCTGTCAAAAGATGACCATTTGTTAACTTTGAGTTTACTTCCTGAGATGTAATGTTCTAATATTCTTTTAACTGCTATTCTGTTTATTATATTTAAGTATTTGTTTACATATTTCAGTCATAATAGAATAACTTATAAGTTCTGTTGATGTGCCAAATTTGCTTGTTTTTTTATGCATGCCTAATACATTTTTACCGAAGTTAATTCAAGTTTAAGTAAGTCGATAGTTAAAAATATTTTTTCAAAGAAATATTCTGTTTTGATTTCTGGATTTTAACCTTTTCACCACCAGACTTTCTCGCCCAAATTATTCTGCACTTTTTTCTAATTCTTCAATATTTCTGGAAATGAACCCTAATTTTTGAGCCAACAGACAAAATTTGAGTCTACCGCAGAGAAGGATCTCATTTAAGGGCTGCGAAAAAAATTTTAGTAAAAGTTTGTTTTTATGGACAGGCAACCTTGCTGCAGTGACATAGATACTAATTAAAATCACTTTATAAAATGATTTCAAATTGCGAGTGAAAAGAAACAATTTAAATTCGGAAAAATTAAAATACAATATTTAAACCGCGGTGGTCGTCGTGCAGCGCGTGTTCGAATTTCATGTAAATAAACAATGAATTTTACATGAGTTGTATACTTCTTTATGAGCCCCATATCGAACAGGACGCGGCGCAACGACTGCCGCCCTTTAAGTCAGTGAATACAATATTTGGTAAAAAAAATTCTGCAGCCTCCACAATTGAAAACTTTACAGGTGTGAATCTCATTAGGATTCTCACATGAAGTTACAGGGAAAATGGACTATTATAAGGCAAAGGAAAATAATGTCCTCTTTCGTCCAGGTTATATAACAACTTCTCTTTTACTAATATTTGGTGGGTTTTTACATGTATATACTAAAATGATATTACACCCATTAAAATGTGTAAGATGCCCATCGTGAAGTGTCGGGTATAAATTCTGGTAAAAATATTCAAAATATCTTTATTATGGTTATATGTATTTATTGGTGCTAGATCATCCCGTCCCAGTGACCCAGTATCTGAGACTGAAGTATTGCAGACATGTGAGACGACTTCTGTTTATTCATGGAGATAATTTCATGGTTTATTTTATCATCTTTATGCCTATTTTATTGTCTATAGAGGAACTGCGTCTTGATTGATGTAAATGCATCAGTCAATTTGAGTGTAATTATCATGCAACCCTTCATTACTACATGTATACTACTTGGTACATCTGCATTGCATCATGGAGCTAACAAATCTACCAAGCAACTCTCATCATAATACTTAAATATATATTAAGTATTAATTATCTTTTCTTAGCTTGGTTAAACAAAGTTAACTGTTACAATATTGAACTGTTGGAAAGTGCTGTGAGTCGAAGAAACAAGAATCAACCATTGGTAACAGTTAGTAATCATCGCTCGTGCCTTGATGATCCATCTATTTGGGGTAAGACACTTGCTCATTGTCTAGTGATATCATTTATTTTGGGGTAAGACAATTGCTCATTGCCTAGTGATATCATCTATTTTGGGGTAAGACAATTGCTCATTGTATTGAACAAATTTTCATTTGTTTACCATATATGATATTGGATTATGTGAGTTCTTTGAAAAATTTTGGAATCTGACATGCCACTGAAAGATGCTGAATAATTTAGGAAACTGACATGCCACTGAAAGATGGGATGTGAATAAAAATATATATATTTTATTATTGTTGTTTGATACCAAGAATTTATAAGATGATATTATGTGAGTGGTCTGATATGCAATGAAGATCTCACACAAATTAAAGAATTCCTGGAGTATGTATTATGGTTTAGTAACACAGTTCTCAGTTTAGTGTTATAATTTTGTAAGTAGGGATTGATGAATAAAATTTTTTTCATGGTGTATTTTGTCACACAGGTTGCTTGCGAATAAAAACACTATTTACAAGAAAATACATGAGATGGTAAGTGATGAACTATTGAACAGCTTATAGTATAGGATAGAACGAGAGTACATTAGCTCCTCTGACTTGCGATATAGTGACGGGGATTAGTGATCTCTGTACATGTGTGTGTCCTCACCTTTAGTATCTTGGACACGTCTTCATCGATTACATTCAATCTTCACATACACATCTTGAAATACATAGTCCAGTCGCTTCAAGAACCAATTCAATAGAAACCATTTTTGTGATCAAAAAGGATTTCTGCTATTGTGGAACCGGATCTTGGTTGGATTTTATTCAAGCTTTTTACATACATTGGACATTATATGTTACCTTGATGCACATCATTTTGTTTTTCAGATTGGCATTTTTGTTTTAATTAATGCTGTTCCAGAAATATCTCCCATATGCTTTGACCAATCATTTTCAAACTTTATATATGCATTTTGTCACACATAAGCATTTTGTATTCATTTGATTCAAGATGGCCGAATGGCAACCATTTGAATGTTAAAAGGGAATCAAAACCTAGCATTTCTGTCATTCCAGAATAGAATCTTGGTCTTGCATGGACAGATTTCATTCAAACAGAATAGAACCTTGATGCATGTCAATTTGTTTGAATTCAGAATGGCAGACTGGCAGCCATTTTGTTTTGACAGAGCCATATTTCTAACATGCCTTGACACATTATGAATACATAATTGTGAAAAAATATTACAATTACAGTGGCCCCACGCTAAGTCACGGGTATCGGGTCGGACATACCGAGGTGTCTCTTGAAAGAGGAGTTTTTGCATTGAACATGGATAAAAAGCACATGTCCACACACGGGTTTACTTATAGTTTTCTTTATTGAAAAACATCACAGCATCCATATCCGCATAGATTCATTGTAGCAAGTTTTATAGAGCCATATCGAAAGGGGACCGATCAAGAAGTATGTAAAGTCGCAATGACCCAGTTGACACCTCGAGTCAGGCCGTTGTCTCCCTTTGTATCTCAGTATTTGACGGCCAGTAGGTGTTGGTCTACTCCAGTCCTTTAATGGCAAATTAAATACACGATGTGACGATACATTAGTTTTTTTACTTCAAATAAAACTGCTGGCAAGACAAAATAGAATTTTTGGGAGCCATCCAACTACCCGCGACTTACTGAGGCGTGACTTAGCGAGGGGTCATGGTATACACAATACAAGTTTCTAGATACCCTGCCATGCCATTTCACTCACATGTAATATATGTAATTATTTTTAGGACACTGGCTGCCAATGATATTGTATTCACAAGAAGACTTTATTCAAAGTTCTTCAGCCTTGGAAGATGTGTTCCAGTTTGTCGAGGTAATGACTGTGAGCAGGATTCTTTCTAGTTGTCACTCATGGTGTTCAAGTGTCTTTTGAATCTATGTGCATTGTCTAGATAAAGTCATTACATCAATCATTGTATTACTATGGCATTTTATTGTGATGATTATTTTTGCTATAATTGAAGTTGTATTATGTTTTTTCTCAGGAGATGGAGTTTACCAGCAAGGTGTTGATTTCTGTTTACAAAAATTAAATAATGGTGACTGGGTTCATGTCTTCCCTGAAGGTAAGTCTTTTCTAGGAATATTATGTTTAATAGATGTAGACAGTGTTGGTCTGTGAATGCTTTCAAGATGTCCATCACTAAACAAGGAATATTATGGAATATAGCATAATATATCATATTTATTTGTTTCTGCAGGAAAGGTGAACATGACTAATGAATACATAAGATTGAAATGGGGTGAGTGATGACATCTTAGCATGTGGCTCTTTGAATATGGGGTGGGGGTGGGTAGTTATCAAGGTATAAGGCAATATTTGAATACCGGTACTACTGTTAGTTACCAAATCAGGTGAGAATGTGAACCATACCATACAATGCAATATATAATTGTTTTTATGTTGCTTTTCAGGTTGTTTTTTTCTTATTTGGTTCAGGGGAAACCTTGCCTTGCAATATCTGATCATCTTATGTCCCTTTTCAAATTGGAGATATTGGGGAATCATGCAATATCTATTTTTTTTTAAATTGCTTTCCAAATGTATGAAGGGGTAATGTAATGGGTGCGCACTATCATATTATTCCGAAAATTGTCACATACTTTGTGGACTGTGTATTTGCCGCAAATATTTTGCTATTTAGAATAACCTCATATCATACTTTTATCATGCTTAGGTGGTAAAGTCAGTGTTTATTGTGATCTGGTGTTCATGTGGTAGGGCTCTATGCTTTGGCTTTTTTGGGGCCTTTATTGTCTGTCTGAAGCTAGCGAGTGGAAACTCATTAAATGACAAAATATAGATAAATTTGTGATATTTCACTTAAAGCTTTTTGAAATGAACTAATAGTGCCAAATACTTACCATTTCAGGAGTAGGCAGGTTGATTGCAGAGTGTAAACAGGTCCCCTTAGTCATTCCATTTTGGCATGTAGGAATGGAAGACGTACTACCAAATAAGGAGCCTTATATTCCCCATATTGGGAAAACAGTAACTCTACTAGTGGGGAAACCCATAGAGTTTCGAGACATGTTGACACACCTCAGGAATGAACGGAGAAGTCCAGTGAGTATTTTATCTAGTCAGTCATTGATTTATGAGCTAGTACTCAACAGTGGGGGGGTATGCTGGATGTCAGCTTGGTGTAAGATGTACAGCTGTACTGTGACAAAAGTTTATGGAAAGCTTCCCAGTATCAACACCCAGTTATTACATTATCTTGTCTCTATGGGAAAATTGTATATAATTATTTCAACAACAATGTATGGTTTAATACTATGTCCAGTCATGCTTTCAGTTTAAGGCAGTTTTCCAGGCGAGTGCTCAGAAAATACTACATTTAACAAGCGAAGCAAAATGATGGTTATGAGTGTGAAGTAATAATATTGTGATTGTTTCCCAATGACTGCTGCATGATGTTTGCAATAGTGCAAATGTACCTTTTCGTTTTAAAACTATAGCCATACATCAACCCATTGTCTGAGCAAAATAAATGAACATGGCGAGATGTCAACCAAACATGAAGCAGATCATATTCGGGCAGAGGTTTGAAAAAAGGTGCATACATTTGGTCATGCACACCCTATGGTTTCTAAAGTGATTGTTTCGCTTTGCTCAACCCAGTAATATACTTATAAAGAATACATAATGGTCAATCTGTATAATTGTCTATGTAGTAGTAATCACAAACATAATGTCAAGTTCCTCTTGTTTCACAATGCATTTAGTAACAAAAGCACATTGTGTTACATTGTAGTTGGAGATACGAAAGAAGATCACAGATATAATCCAGGAGGAGTTTGTTCTTCTCAAAGCAAAAGCGGAAGCACTTCATCATAAAGCATTACAGGATAGACAGGGTTTTCAATCCAATAACATCAATATCTCCAATGAAGAGAAGGCAAATAGATAGTAGGAGTATCATCATAATAGATGCAATTGTGGTTTCCATCTTTATTAATGATTCAATGACTTTCACATCAACAATGCAATGTACAAGTTATCATGGTATCAACCATTTAATTAATTTTCTTCAACCTATTTACATTGTATATCTGCATTTTTGATATTTATTTAACAGTATCCATATATGGGCAAATACTGAAAACCTGAATGGAAAAACTACAAGTACACATATTTTTAGTCTGTCTGCGCCGACTTTACATTTTAGACTTCTGAAACACCATCAACTGCATTTCATACTCATTACAAGTGAGCATCCGAATTTTGTAACAACTTTCGACTTCTTCAGTCTGATCTTCAGTTGTGTAATTTTGATACTTTTATAAATATTATAAACTTCTGAATAAGATGGCTTCCACTTTGTGCATCTCAAGACATAATTCTTGTTCAATGGGATATTCTCAATTTAATTAATGTGTTATTATAAATATCTTTTACTTTTTACTGTGTTACAGATTGTTTGCGAAATGTGCATCGCTAACAGAGGAGCTGTATCAGTTGATTTTAGATTGTATACTGAGTACTGTTTTTTTCAAAATAGCAGGTCAATGGTTTTGATTACAAAAGTTGTTTTTTATAGAAGTCAATAATAAAAATGAAATTATGTGATAAGCGTGTCCTTTTCATGAATGACGAAATAAGAGACAATATCTGTGATTTTTTTGTGTTTAAATACAAACACGAAAAAAGATAGTCAAATCTCACCGACAGTTACAAATTGACACAGGAAATGTTTTTATTAAAAATAAAAATCAGAAAAAAAGATTGATAGTTACAGCTATCGCACTCGCAGTACAAAGAGATGAGAAATTATTCATTATTGGACATCAGAATCATGTTGTATTGTTTTCAGTAAACACAGTCCATGATTTCAAAATATCATCAGATCTATTCTAAAGTGGAAAACATGTGTGCTCTACAAAGTTTATGTTCCAATAAAAGTAGCTTACTATCTATGCTAAGTTGGAATAAAATTATTCTGTATATTTAGGACTTTAAGTACGTGGTCTGAGGGCTGGCACCCGATTTAAAATGTATACAACATATGGTTTGCTCACATAAGTATTGCCCTTGTACCATAATGTCCCTACAAATGTTCAGACGTGCGAATACAGTTGAACCAAAATAATAACTACTACTTCTATCAGTTTGTATATTTTTTAAACAACTGACAAATTTCTAGTTTGTTAGTCAGTTCACTTGGTTTAGTGCCGTTGATGTCTGTAATGTCTATGGCTCCATTCTTCAATAGTTCTTCAACACAGTCAAAGTGCTGACCCCCAACAGCCATGTGTAAAGCTGTGAAAACAAAGTTATGATTTGTTAATGAATCCTTCATTGAAAGTTCTCTTGCGATCAAAAAGTGAAGACATTATTTCATGAGATCTTTCTCGATCTCTAAATTTAATTTTTATAATATTTAATGTCAACGATTGTTTTAAAAAATACCATGTATAATATCCACAATTCTCAACATGCATAAGTACATGTTACATTACATGAGTACCTACACTGATTGACTTTGATATTGTGTAATATTCAAACATATACAGTGATATAATAAATTATACAATATCCAGCATGTTAGCAGACCACAGTACCTGTTCTTCCTTTACTGTCAGTGATATTGACATCTGCATTATGACATATCAAACAATCAATTGCTCCCACATGACCTTCCTGTATAAAAGGAAATAACCACTGTTTATTACTGGTATATTAACTTTTTATCTGGTAACTCAAAGTATCACAGTACAATTACTAGTACTGTAGAATACTTTATTTTTGCTTGGAAATCATTTTCGCTATTTTCGCTGAAGGGATGATTCCGTGAAAATAAAATCCAGCGAATATACTTTTTTTCCTATATTTCACATTAAACTCATAAAAAATCAGTGAAAATAAATTCCATACAAAACGCCCAAAAAGCCTTTTCAGCGAAAATTAATTCCAGCGAAAATAAAGTATTCCACAGTATTAGTACCGTATTATAAATTTGTTAAACTTCAGTGTTGTGAAGTGTTGATGCAAAATCTTGACCCTGATGTTGCTACCAGTATATCAAAAGGTAGAGTATGAAATGGCATATTCCATGCTCTTTTTCTTTTTTCAACAGTATTACATGTGATGGTAGGAGCTGTAAACTGACCTTTGACACAATGATTAGAATTGCACAAACCAGGCCTAAACTCACCTTTGCTGCCAGATGTAAGGGTGAAAGGCAACCAATTATAGTTTGTATATTCACAGACACATTACAATTGTTGATGAGGAAATTGAGGGATGTAACACAACCAGACTGGGATGCCAGATGGATTGCCTGACGACCCAAAATATCACCTTTATGAACATCAGCCTGTCAAGAACAATGAGTAAATATAATATGATGATGTTTGCATTTCAATACATGTAATAAGTTGTTATTAGCAAGAGACATCCTTGGTATCAAATGATTGTATACCCTACACACAATATACCTTGGGTAGACACTTCAATGTGTTTGTATTATTTACCGGTATTCATTTTATTGTTACTATTTGAAACATATATAGCACCATATTTCCATGAAGGAGCTTCACTATGGTAAAAATTAAAACTAAAATAATTGAAGTTATTGATGATACTCTTTTGTAGGCTTGATTAAATTGATGAGTCTTCAGTTTCTTATTAAATACAGGTAGTGAATCATACTTTTTCATGTCAATTGTGTTTTGGTGCAAGTCGTGTTTTCCATAAGATGACTTTACAAATGGGGTTGAATGACTTTAGAAGAGTTGATAAGTAGGTTGGGGCTTGGACATGAAGTGCCTTATACGTGATTCAAAAGGAGTTTGAAGTCAATACATAGCCAGTGATGCTTGTATAGAATAGGTGTAATTTTGTAGATGTTTCTAATATGAAAAAAACGCTGATTTGCAGGCAAGGACTATCAAACGTTGTGCAAGATTTATAAATGCTGCTTTTGGTAGAATATCAGTGTCACCAATTTTTATGTGCGGTAGGTCCATTTTATTCAGATTATGTTTTGATCCAAAGAAGAACAGCTCCATCTTATCTAGGTTTGATTTTAAAATGAATGAGGGATATGCAGCTTTCCATGCATGAACTTGATGTTGTTTTCTCTAATGTTACCTAGTGGTGATGTATACATGGTGAATACTGGAACAGAATCCTGTGGCACACCATAATTTAAATTGTGAGAGTTGCCATTGATTGTTACAATTTTGATCACTGAGGTATGATTTTTAACCATGCAGGTTATAAATATTGTGCAAATTGTAAATTAATATTCAAAACAAGCTTAGAAAAAACGACTGAGTGAACTACTGAGGGTATTGGAGGCAATGCTGACATGAAACACACTGGCATTCAACAGTTAGGATTAACATATTAACTTCTGAATCATTAAAATATTATTTATTTTGACCATAAAAACACATTTCTGTGATTTATAGAGATGCACTGTAATCAAGCCAAAAATGCTTGCGTCACTGATAAATGAAAACAAATTATCACTCAGAATAAATCAGTTTTCTTACCATATTGGAAAATGACATCCTGTAAATGAAAATTCTAATTTATTTGTTATGATTTACCTTGTGTAACATAATGAGTAAATCAGCTATGTCCACATAACCCACTCTCAGTGAATCCATTAATGGAGTGCTACCACAACTATCCACCATGTCAACCTGATAATGGCATCTGTGGATCATTATCTTTGCAGCCTCTGTGTTGCCATGGAGTGCTACAAAATAAACCATCATTTGTGTTCTTTTTAGCTTGTCGGGACTCATTTCACAATATGTCGATTACTGAACTCCATAATGTGTTGCACAACAAATATTGACACCTGAACAAGTTAAATAATGGAACAGAACCAATACTGAGTGTGTGATAAAAACTGTAATCCAACACACAGACAAACTTGGTTCATGCGTTTATTACAGTCGTTCTGAGAATTATTCGGACAGTCAGTTAGCAAAATGACTTGCAATTTTACAAAACACTTTGGTCTTTGCCCAATCTAGACTTGTTGGCACCACTTGATTGACGGGCGCTTGGTTTGGGATTACTATTTCATAGGGGTTGTCGGCATGGTAAATTGCAAGTACATGTACAACATATAACCTGTTAATGTATGGTAACTGTGGCGTGTCGTTTTGAAAACAGCCTTTTACCCGCATCTAGCAAGATGATGGAATGATCCCAATTGTGGGCGCCATCAAGTCTAGATTGGAAAAGACCCTGACAATGTAATGTAAAAGTGTTTTGCAAAGTTCCAAGATATATTGCTAACTGACTGTCCGAATAATTTTCAGAACGGCTGTAATGTGCTGCACCTTTGACATAGTCTATGGTAAAACTAAACATATGGTCAACATACGTGTTCATACCAGCAGTGTGCAGAGGAGTTCGGCCATTCTTACTGATTGTATTCCAAGTGTTCTCATCACAGTTTAGCAGATAGTTGAGAATGTCAACATGTCCCTCTCTGTGAAAATAACCAAAGTATAATGGTAAACAGATATCATAAGATAAATACACAAAATATACATTATATTATACCGGTGTTTCAATTGTCTGAATACATCGTTCTAATTGGTTGACAGCATGTTTTAATTATGCAAGCCATAATTAAATAGACAATATACCATGGTTTTTGTTTTTAGAATTAGCCCCCTAAAAATAATATTTTACAGAATTTACAGAACAATGTCACACAAAAAAATGGTTGCAGTCGCCAGTGGCTGGTTTTTGAACCTGGAAGTTATAGATCGGCATGTATATTTTTTTGGAAATCAAGATATATCTTTAAACCTTGCAACACCAATTAGTGTACCCATAATCCATGTATGCTAGTTCAATGGTGCAATTTTATTTCACCACAGTTGTGTCTCAGAATCACCTTTAAAATGCAGTTGGTATAATAATATAATATAATAGAAATCACCACTCCAGAGGTGGGTATACCACTTCATTTTGACTAGTTCACTCATACAGTGTATACACTGACATATATACCTCTTGTGTATATACCGGTATCTCATAAAACTGGTCAAAATCTTGTGGCATACTCGCCTCTAAGGGGTGGTTATTATGTGATGATAAATATGCTCCGTCTTTACTGTTCACCTTGCTGCGATGTGAAAACAATTCCAGCCATCTTTATTTCTCAGTTTTTGATTTGCACCATTTTGTATAAGTTCTTGAACAACCTCTAAGTTTGCTTTGGTACATGCTAACATCAATGGAGTCCTGTACAAACAAATACAACAAGATCATGATTCAGTCAAAACATAGTTAATGTTTTTTTTACTCTTGTGTGGGAGTTTTTGCAGTTAGCTTGTCTGTATATGTGTCTGTCCGTTCCACTGATATCTCAAGAACTGTATGTGCATAAATTTATTTATTTTAATTATTTAATCACTTTCACTGTGACTATCACTACATGTACATTTGTTGTATCATATTTGATTTCTTCGTGAAAAAGCTTCAAAATCTCCAAAACCTCTGCTAGTGCGCAGATTTGATTAGGTTTTAGTTGAAAACCATGCATATTAATAATCTAATTTGCATGATAATCAGCTAATTTTTAACTGTGTCCTGACTGTTCAACTGATATATGAAGGAGCCATTCATTAGATTTTGATGAAACTTTGTACATAGATGCTC